CTGAATTCTAAAAGTTGATTTTAGAATTCACGAGTTTAGTCTCGCGCTTTTACTTGATGAAAAAGGTGATTACTTTTGCTTTACTTGAAAGAAGATTTCAGGACATGGCGAATGAGTAGTGAGTGAAAGCATGGCTGTTATCATTGTACGTATTATTCAGCTATTTGCAAGCTTATCTGCATGCAAAAAATAGTATCGTATAAAAAGGTATTATCTCTACTAGTTCATATACAAAAAATTTAAGCACTTATCAATAGTGTTGAATACTCTTCCGTACAATAATGATATGGTATATTATCGACTGGAAGAAGATATAATATAATAACTTAAACGATAATACATAAATTAATTTAGAGCATTTAGAAATCCACGCTGTAGTTGGTGCGCTTAAATTATTGGACGAACCTCAGTATACTTGAATGTATTTAACATTATTGAATACAAATACGTTTTGGTTAAATTCTAGCCTTCTTCAGCTTGACATCATTGACACTACACACGTGGAAAATCTTTGGTTATCTCCTAGTTATTATCCATGACCAGTCAATACGGTTAAGTTATTTGTACAATAGTTTGTACAAATAATATTCAGATAAATAAACAGTCTCTTTCTAAGCAGAAAAAATATTGCGAATAAATGTGACTACAAATAATATCTTTATACTGATAAAAATATCAGAGTTGTTATCAGAGGTACAACAGAGAATAATCGTGCAACAAAAGCGAAATTAAGTGCGATGAACGAAGCGAGATATAAACAAGAGTAAAGAGGGAAACAAAAGCTGCTTAAGATAGCGGTTAGGAAAAGAAAATGCATCGTAATGCAAAGCGGAAGGTGCTTTCCATGAACGCAGAGACGAATACTTTTGGCAAATTTTCATCTCCACTAAACATCTTGTGTTGCTTTATAATTTAAATATAAAAATACAATAAAAATACACTAGACACACGCAAAAGAAAATATAAGTTGAATAAAATAATTAACTCTAATATAAGTAAAATGTGTGTGAAATAATTAAGTAGATATTTTTTTTGTTACCATTCTTATATATAATAAATTAATATTACTATTACGTTCACTATATTATTTATTAAAAAAAAAAAACCATTTTGCTGTTGTCACAGTATAAATTTGTATAATATAATTAAATATTCTTTCAAAGTAATGTATTATTTATTAAACATACACTTTACTCTTTTAAAATTTTGCAAAACCGTAATGGATGTGTATTCATTAAACGGGGCAAACTATGAGAAAATAAAAATGTAGCGCCCGAGATAAAAAGAGGCAAAAAGGAAAAGATAATAGTGTCATAACATGGATGCTGCGATGCAACGCGGTTCGGTGTTTCCGTCGACGATAGTCAGCGTCAGCGTAAAAGAATTTGCATTATACTTGAACTTCCAGGCTCGATAATTGCGTTATAATAAATTACACGTTATAAAATCTACTACAAAACTGCGTAAACATTAAATGCAAAATGACAGCATCAACTGAAGTATGAGTATACCAAGATGCGATCAAAGCAAAAAGTCGAAATTATTACGTTATTCTTCATTTTGCCACATTACTATTTCATTAAATGCACAACACACACGTAACAATTGATGACATTAATAATTATGACAGCATGATTACTTAACGTCCTAACAAACATAGACATTTCTGCGATGATTCGCGTTGCAGTATTCATGCCAATAATTATTACAGCGAAATATGTAAAGACGGAGTTTGAGCTTCGGGGTTTGGCCTTTCTCGCACAGTACTACTGAATGCGCATTTGCGAAGTGGTCGCAGACAAATGAGCGAGACGTCAGGGCGGCTGTTGCGGCGAGGATAGTTCGACGTTTCCATAGACAAGCAGCCCGAGCTAATTTGCATTGCGGTGGACCGTTTCGTGTTGGAGTTGGCTGCATCCGGGTAGTCATCTACCGGCACTTCACATCGACTCCTGAAACGTCGATACACCCGGTATGCGTCGCTCGCGGCATACGCGAAACTAATAACCGAGCGGAGTGTTTCAAGAGAATGATCTGCTGCTCGGTTAGACGCTCCTCAGTCGACTGTATTTTACGTAATAAACAAACGCTTTACGTCACGAGTGTATATATCAAAAAGATTCTTGGCCTACTCGCCATATATACCCACACGGAGAATATTAAATTTTAATACAATTTTAAATTACGCTTTACTATGTCTTGTATTTTCGATGGACCCTCACAACATGATTCTGACTTTTATTATGGTAATACTAATTTTTATCACATAAATAAAGTAATTATCTTGTTAAGCCATAATCTAACATGAAATCAGTTCATTTTTGCTATGGTACGCAAACAAAATTTGCTAAATATATATTTTTTACTTATCTTTACAATACTAACTTTCATTCAACAAGATTTGATTTTGTAATAAAAAATTTTTATTATGAAAAAGTGTAAAAATTACATTGTATTATTGTTTTTAAAAAAATAGCATTTAAACTTATAATTTACATGAAGATCGCAGCTATTACATTATAGTAATTTTAAATATAAAATTTTCTCCGTGCACTATATATCTTTTTGAGTCTGGAATTAAGAGTAAACTTTCTGCTACATAGATAAAAAAATATCTATAGTATATATCTCTCTTGCGTTTGAAAAGTTTGAAAGTTCCTAAGTCCGACGGTCAAAACGTCTGGTCCCGATAACACCAGCAATTTAACACGAATTAATTATTAATTCTCCGTAATCTAGATGATCTTTACGTTAAGATGATTTTAACATCTCTGAAATTGTTGATCGCGAAACTTCAACTCCGAATTATTCTTCAAAACGCCGATAATTTTAGTTGAAGCTGAAAACAAGAAAATCCATCGATTTGATTGCAGAATCCGTCATGAAAATATCTCGTACTTATATCGGGAATTCTACATTAGTACAGAGTGTCTCGCGAAAGGACGGCGAGCTTCTTATTCTCTCTTACGGAGAGTAAATCTAACGCGAGTGCAGACTGTTTCCGAAGACGATTAAACTTCATAAGCGGACCGTTCCTTACGTCTGCCGGGCAGGCGACAAATCCTTGGATTAAATCAAACGCAATTCGCGTCTCGTGCAGTCCAGAGAGAGGAAAATCCAATCTAGGAAGCGGGAAAGGCGAGATTCTAAAGGCGCGCGCGGATGTACCTGCCTCTAAATGGAAAACGAATCACTCGGAAAACTTTCCGTACGCGGGAGCGTCGAACAGGTCGGGCGTGCCAGTGCGAGGAAGTTGGCCGTTTATTCATCGGGCTATAATTTATCGCGGAAGATGGAGAATACGCGTTGGTGAATTCAAGGCAAATTTTTCGACGCGAGGGAGGGAGAAAAGAGCAAAAAGAGACTTTCGCGTTTATGCTACGCACGTGCAATCTGAAAAGTCGCGCAGTAGCGATCGAAACATGACGACAATACGTCACGTTTCGTTGTCGTCGTCGTCGTCGTCGTCGTCGTCGTCGTCGTCGTCGTCGTCGTCGTCCCCCGACGTAGTCGGTACGAGATCTCACGCGATGACAGGAACACAATGCCTCCATTATGACACGAGGAAAACGAATTTAGGAAAGTTTCTACGATGCATCAGGTGCTTGACTTCTCGGTGGCTTCGGGAATGAAATTGCCAAAAAAAAAGAATGGTTGAATTTGTCCCGCAAAGTTCGTCTGATTTACACGATAAATTCGATTCGCGAGAGATATTTATTTATAACATGATCCAAAAATCATATCGCAAATATAAACCTGTAGATAACTAAAATCAATTTTTATAGACATTATGACTTCAATTGAATTTTAGATATATTTCTAAATTTATTTCTTTTTTTTACGTTCTACTGCGTAAATAAAAAAACAGATCTTCAATAATTGCTAGACATTATCGACGACATATTTCCATTGCAATTGTTGGAAATGATATCCCACAGTGATGTCAATTTTTTTACATTCACTCGACAGCGTGGATATAAAAATGAAATTGACATCACCAATTGCTTTTGTCATTTTAATGAAACACAAATAGAATTTGATTAATCTAATGCATGCTTTTTAATTAAAAGTCGAGAAAACGAATTACGAACTTTCAGTTCCAGGAATGTCATTCACGTGTAATGTTCATAGCAGACTGCAGATGCAGAACCATCAAGAGATACTAGCTGTAAGATGAGTGACATAAAAAAGTCATCTCTGGAAAAATACACGCGCATTTTTATTGTTATACTCTCCGCTTCTCTATACAAAGTTATGTGCCTGTTTGCGATACCGGTGTTTCGTAATATCGCGATTTATCCATTCAAGATTCGTGCGGAATAACGAGAATATTTGTTGTAAAGTGCATATATGTGTATACACGAACTTGAATCGCACCCTCAGACTCTAATTAACTCGAATGATGACTGGATTGACGTAACGCATGGCGCTCTCACGTGCGTTCTGTCGTCGCTCGGTACACGTGACTCGTGCGAATGAAGGGAAAAGTTCCCCTGCACTTCGTACTTGTTATTCACATTTCTGCTTAGCACACTGTTTTACCCAAAAAAATTACTAAACAAAGATAAAGTGCTTCATTTCAAAGAAAAGAAGAATAAGAAATGATAATACATCAAATTTTTATAAGTATAAGAACTTTAAAAATATCTTAACATAACAAACAAGACACAAAAGTAAAAATTATTTCTAAAAACTGAAGATAATGCAACGAAATGATCAAGTTCTTGTAAGTAAATATAATTAAAAAAAATATCCTAAAATAAAATATAAAATATACAGGAAAATAGACGTCATTTCTAGAAATGTAAGATAGCGCTGCGAGATGATCAATGAGTTAGAAAGATGTCAGGAAGCAACGTGAAAAGAAATCGAGTTTCAGTTTCGATTTTTCGCTAAAAGTACGACAACCATCGTTATCTGGAAAATGTGTGTAGCCTGGATTCACATGATATTTCGCTCTTATGTATAGTCGCGAGCGACCAATCTGTAATTGCACTCACCGCTCTCTGCGGACGGGTAAATGTTGAAGGCCGAGTCTTTCAGCCAGGACGTGACCGCGACGTACTCCTTAACGAAGGCCGGTATCTCGCACCTGAGCACCCCTGTGTTACCCGCCAGGACGTAGGCATCTCGCACTTGTACCTCGTACTTCTGGCGTACCACTGAAAAAGAAAAGTTACGGCTGCTTGAGCATGGAATAAATGCTGGAAAGGACGGAAAATAGGGGGGAGAGCGAGAGATGGACCGTCATATCGCTCTCCGAGACAAAAACTCTCGGAAAAATGAAAAAATATAGAGAAGAAAGAGAGAGAAGGGAAAGAAAAGGAATAGGAGGGAAAAGGTTATATCGCCATGAAACGGGATGTCGTATTCGCGAGAATAATAGCACTGAAAAAATGGAAAAGAACGGTCCCGGAAGATAGAGCCTCCTCCCTTCGACACGCAACAACTTCGCGACGTTTTCATTCCATTCGTTGCTTCAATCGCAACAATTTCGGCGATATCATAGGCAGGCTCATATTTGCTCTTCATCGTGACGAATCTCTCATCGCGTCGATGATCGCGATGCACGTTAATCTCCCGCAGAGGGAGAACGAAGAGGAAATAGAGGTTCGGATATGACGGTTTAAGGAGATGGTAGAAGTGGTATGTGTCGCATAACGATATATCGGGGCTGTTCTATAAGCAATGTCGGATTCGAGTGATGAATATTCCTCTCCCGGCGAGCTTCCGAGATCGAAAGACCACCCATTTCTGCTGTCCACGTGATTAATAATACCGCTTATTTCAGATAAAGTGTGACAAGCGAATCCTTAGACAAAATTAAAATAGAAATTCACTAAATTTTTCATTCAATAAAATTTATATATTTATATAAATATACTTTCGAAATTATCAACAGATTCAAGATTTAATTAGATTTATCAACAGTTTAAAGACAAATTGAATAAATAGAAACTTCTTATTATAAATAATAATAATAATAATATCTGATTATTTTTCAAATAGATAAATAATATATGCATTTAAATTATTAAATGATAGAAATAAATTATTTTTGAGTTGTGTAATTAATTTACTGCAAACATAATTAAAGTATTAATGATCGGAGACTACAATAAAAATATTTTATCATCCGCGAATAAGATTTTTTCTTTAACATCATTATTCCTGAAAATATTTTATCCAATAATGGACGAACGTAATTTTCGCCAGAGACATGTAATATGAATTCACATTGCGCGTATTATCCATGCTGTTTATTACCGAGCTTTCAGCATTCTATCGTTAATTAACATTCTTAAAGAAGACCAGCGAGACACATTAACGCTAAAAGGGGTATTATTAACGTAGCAGCTCGGTACTTCGTTTTCCACCGACCTCATTGTTCACGCGAATACCGGTGGCTCTTCAGACAGGCAGTTTCGGTAATTAGTGCTCTGCCTTCACAACTTTTGTTGTGCTTCCATGATTTCCGCACCGTTTTAATCCTTTTAACGGATAATCCACCACCTTCAATTCCTATTTCAGTGGAATTTTCTTCGTTAAATGCGATAAGCGATTCTTGGCGGGACCAAGTGTGATTCTTAACGGCAAACAGGAAGGTGAAGAAATGGCATGATCGTTTGTCACACGTGGCGTACATTGGGTGGCCGAGGAACGTGTCGATCGGTCGATACATTCCACGTAAAATTACTGACGCGCCCGATCTTTCATCCGTGAAATTCGTTCGGCGATATCTCAGCACAGTGGATTTCCTCCAGCCAGAAATTCTCGTTTCATGTCTGAAACCGAAATATATGGCGGTCTGTTTCTACTTACGCTCGGCGATAAATTTCGCGTGGCTAATTAAGAAGAATTACCCTGTGAAACTATCAAAAAACCGCATAACGTGGCTGTAAAATATTACACGCAGTTATAAAAATTACAAATGAGTATACCATTACCTAAGTAATTAACAGCAATTAGCAGAAAATTACGAGTTTGAACGTTTACGTTGAAGAAAAAGAATAATTTATTGTATTTCTCCTCGTCTCTCGTTCATTAACATCATAAAATTATAATAGCTTGACCCTTGACTTGTTTCATCATATATTAGTAAATTTGTTTTTATATTCTCCTCTCTAGGTGATCTCTAGCAGCTTTTATTTCTTATACCATTTTCAGAGCAATCTGTACACGTGCATAAATGCGTCGTACTTTGGCGGCAAGTCGCGAGTTTTGATCTTGGCACAGGTTGTTAGCTATAAGCGAGCGTGAGTTTAGTGCCATCCATTTACGACGACGGCGACGGCAGATGGGGAAAAGCGAGTGGAAAAGAGGAGGGCTCCTGCTCGCGATAAATGTAGTTGGCTTGGCTCTGCCCGAGCGCACGATCATTCTTGCCGCCCTCAGGCGCTCGAAGTCGTGGGTTTAAAACGTCATTCCGGAGAACGGTCGATTACATTTAACTCGGCGGAGGCGGGAACCTCAGGAAGGACGGTGGTACGATCTGATAATGCCGAAGACTGTTGATTTTCTGCCGGTATGTACCTCGTGAGGCATTCGAAATGTGCAAAATGGATCACCCAACTTTCAACTTCGCAACGAATTACTGCTCCATCTAGGGTATTGACGTTAAATACACTCGGGAAGTAAACGTTAAACGAGATTTCAAATAACGAATTTTACGGCAAAGCACGCCAATCAATTGTTGTCATGTTTGAAAATTGCGGAAATTTCGGTCGACGTTGAAAGAGAATTTAACGGTACCTAATATTTCTACTACAGTTTGATTTTTTATGACTATAACTTACATTACATAAATATAGATGCGGATGTAAGAAACTAGAAATGTAGTATGTGAATTATTAATGCATCATATCTTATTATTAGGAATAGAATCTCTTGCCAAATGATTTAAATTCTGCAAAAAACAATATCTAGCGGATCTTGGCACGTTTTGAAGTGTGAACAATTTTCACGGTTATATTATTTACTACTAAAATCTAGGATTTTCAAATTGCGGCATGTTTATGGCGCGTGAAACTTCAGTGCTTCCGACGAGTTATGTGTTCGCCGCAACTTTTCAGGGAACCTGCGTGTAATTCTAACACGTCGAGAGCCCCAACGGATACTATTTTCACCATGTTATTTGGCGCAAGCCGCGCTTTCATGTCTACTGAAGTAACGATGCGAAAATAATTGTATAATTGTTTAAATATTTTTTTATCATATCCAAATTATCAAAGTTTTATGTTGGTAAATTTTAACTAGTATATTAAAGTATTCTTTATTACAAATTCACAACTGAGAAATAAAATAAAATTAAATAAAAATTATAGTAAAACTGCAGAAAAGGGGAGCACCCTTGACCTTGACATATGTTGTCAAGGTCATCGCCCTGAGTAACCTCCAACAAGTTTTAGCCGTCGCTTGTTGTTCATTAAGAAGTTATTAACAAAAAAAATTTGAAAATATGTTTTATTTCTGCTATATATAATATTAAAAACTATCCTACACCCTTCCTTGCTTACTTTCCACGTAATAACTTTCCATGTAAAGCAACTCCTACCCCATCTCCCCCCCCCTGCTGGGGGGGGGGGGCACTTAGATTCTTATTTCAAGGTCGTCTTAAGTAATGTCTTAAGACGCTAATGCAGTCCTCTGATTGGTTCGTGACTTCTTAAGACCGTACTTAAGACGGTATTGAATATAAGATCTGACTATGAATACCGGCCTCAGGATCACGATTTCGAAAGTCGCTTCGCGTGGAAGTCGTGCGCCCCTAAGCAGAGGAGGGTGGGGTCGTTTCGCGTTAAAAAAACTATAACCCTAACCCAACCCATTTTTTAATGCGAAATGGCCCTCATTTCGCGTGGAAGGTTGTAAATCCATGTTGTTACGCGTTAAAAATCCTTACCCTACCTACCCCATTTTTTTATGCAAGGTGATCCTCATTTCGCGTGGAAGGTTGTAAACCTAGTAGAACTTTGCTTCTTGAATATACAACTTTCCACGCGAAAGTAAAAAATGGGTTGGGTTAGGATTAGGTTTTTTTAACGCGAAACGACTTTCACTCCACTATTGGATCCATACATACACTTTTCAACACAAAGCGAGATTCTATATAGGTTTACAACTTTCGTTACAGTAGAAATGAGACATTATTTTTTAAACTATTTTTGTTAATTACTTTTTAACAGACAGCGAGCGACGGCTAAAACTTGTTGGAGGTTACTCAGGGTGATGACCTTGACAACATATGTCAAGGTCAAGGTCATCAGCGGATGTTCCCCTTTTCTGCAGTTTTACCAAATTTAAAAATCCAACTATGGATTAAAAATCAAGCTAAAAAGGCTATCACCAAAAGCAGCGTTTATAGATTCACAATAATCAAAGTTGCGATTTTTGACTTGAGCGAAAATTCAAGGTCGCACGTGAAGCTCGTAAATTGCATGTCACGGTACTGTCGCGTGACAGTCTACACTTTACCTCGTCTTTTTTCGCTGCTATACGTACAGTGAGCAAGCATTAAAGGACGGTGAAGGATCAATCGACTGGAAGAAAGCGAGAGACCGAGGGATACGGTGAGACAAGATCGAGGGAGTCGGCGAGAAATAAAGGAGGCGCTTTCTCTCTTACCGGCCTTCACCGTGATTTCACGGCCGAGCACCTTGCCGACGCTATTCGACGCCTGGCACCGATAGACGGCCGAGTGTACGTCGTGCCGGTAGCTCTCCGCGCCGAACGGTAGGAAGTACATGGAGCCATTCACCAGCATCTCACGGATGTTCGGTATCGGCAGAACCGGCGAGCCGTCACCCATCAGCCAGTCAATCCTCGGCGAGGGACTGCCGTGGGCCGAGCAATGGATCATCGCCCCGGTGTCGTTCGAAAACTCCACGCTCGAGCGCGGCTCTGAGACCAGCACCGGCCCTTGGCTGTCCAGCACCACTCCTCGTCCTGGAACAGAAAAGCGAAACATGTCAGAGAAAAGAGCTCCTTTGTGTAAACGAAACGTGAATAAAAATATATAAATAGATTTCTTTTTAACGCCGTGTGTTGATTTTAATCTTACTCAAAATTTAGAATAATTTCTTTTAAGGAGGTTGTAAGGTAAATGCTATATGTTAAGAACTACTTGAAAAAATTACAGACTATTCTAAATTTCATTTAATAATAATACAAAAAAAATAGAAACAATTGACCATCTTGATCAAAAGTTATTTAAATAAGTAGTAATACTTTTTAAATTTGTACTCTAACATAAATATATGAAAATGTATTATAAAATAATGATAAAAATCTCAATTTTTAAATATAAATACTCTAGGAATTCAACAATATTTTTGTAAAGTTATCTTGAGATGCAGACATTAATTGTTCAGTAAATAAATAAAATTTGTTATTTGTTATAAACTAATGGTGAATCTCAATGAAACTTTGCATAAGTCATGTTTAGTACTTAACATATTTATATTAAAAAACATTTAGATTTTTCTTATTATTTTAACAATTTTTGTTTATAACAATAAAACTAATAACAAATAAAATAAATAACCTATAAAAATGTGTTGCTCAATAAAACCAGAATGTTATGAACACAACTTTCACATGTATGTAGTTTGCTTAAAGCGAAAATATTAATATGTGTGTTTTATGCCCTTACAACCTCCTTAAGAGAGTATCAAGATACGATAACGTAAAAATTAACCTCGAGTTACAAACGATGCTGAGGAGACAGAGACCTTTATAAAGTGAAATATTAAATTGGTGCAAACTGTTTGTCAGATAAAGTTGGAAACAAAATTTCAGTAGGATTGAAGCAAAATTGCTTCAGTATACTCTTTCTTTCCATTTATAGAGAGAAATTTTTCAATTCCTTTTCAAAGAACTTTAGTTTTCTGGCTTTATTTAATACAAATGGACTTTAACAAAGATGGAAAAGGGCAAATATTTCGCAACAATATCTAATATAAATGAAACCATTTATTTTTAAATTCGAGCGGACTTCTTAGGCATTTCAATCTGGCACTTAAAGACTACACGTACATTTACTACATTGAACTTTTCAAAAGTCTGCTATCTACTTTCAATCGCAAAATCTTACTTTCGTGGAGGAATGCGCGTCTAAATCGTTTTCTCTCGCTACGAGAATAATCCCGCATAGTTTTCGAAACAGTGGCAGTCGCATCGCGGCACAGCGCATGGAAACAATTTCCCATAAATCTCTGCCAATTTTTACGCGGCTCAGAAGACGAGAAATGTTCCACCACGAAGTCGAAATACGATGGTTTATGCAACATTCAGAACGTATTCAGAGTAAGGAGTTTAGACTGTAAAATGCGCAAAAGGCATACGATACGCCGCGTAGAAAATACGATGCGTAGCATACGGGCATTACGGTGGAAAATGCACCGAGACGATGCCACAATTTTAAAAAGGGTACGCTCGAGGAAACCATCCATCCGAGATACAGCAATAATGTCGATTCGGTCGTTCTCCGTCTGCATCGAATATCGAATCACACATATTTGATAGGACAATCTATATAATATGCCCATCATACAAGAAATATTACTCCATGAAGAGAAGATAGAATACTTAAATAAATACTTAATTCCTAAATATCTTTTAATTTCTATTTCTGCAAATATTTTTCTTTCTCTTAGAATAATTTATTTCAAACTATTATAAAAACATAAATGCACGATAATAAAAATTTATAATTAAAAATAAATTACGGAAATATATCTATTAAAATTTTAATTTTAATCTCTCAATATACACTTTAAACTTTACAAAATTTGAAAAAAGAAATATTTAAAAAACAAACCTTCAGAATTATTTGATGTATCGACAAGCAGGAAATGAGATTGTGGCTCAATTATAAGAGATATCGATTCTCTCGAGAAGCGAGATAATGCTGGTAAAATAAAATAGAAAAGAGAAAAAGGACAAAGTTATCCGATTTTGATATTATGTTAAAAGGCACAGGATTGCGAGTCGTAGAATCCCGAACGAAAAGATTCCTCTCTCGGGTATCGAGAATAAAAATGCCGTAGAAGAGGGATCTAACGGATTGATCGCTCCAGTTACGACTACGGATTCGAGCAAGCCGTCTTTTCATCGGCAATAAAACGTATATCGCGCTCGACGATGCGCACACCCACCACGTGTCCTCTTTCACTCTTTCATTTCCAGCTTCAGTTTCCTGCCCTGTCGAATGAGCGAGGTATCCGGTTGGAAGATAACATAACGAGGTTATTAACTCGCCTGTGACCTGATCTCTCGCACGTCATCAACAAGTCCGAAAGCGCATCAAATGATCGAAATTAGATGTTATTTAAATTTCACACATTAAATAAAAAAAATTCATGCTGATGGAAAATGTAACACTTACGTTTTTTCACGAATATCTAATCGTTCAGAGAATAATTGATATTGACGTTAATAAATTAAGACAGAGACAGTTGATTTTATAATAGATTTGCAAAGCAATGTGCATGGAATTAACTATTCTTATCTTTTAAATATTTATTGATATATTGTATAAATGTTGTAAAATTAAAGTTATTTCTGTAATAATTACAATAATTAATTAATAACAAAGAGATCATGAAAATAACACAAAACAAAGTTAGCTAAATTATGGGTCAATTCTAAGCAGAATCGTAAAACTCGTGACGTGTTCTCGTAAAACTTGTAAGAATTTATGACTAGTATTCTAATTTTATACGTATGTAAGACGTACTATTATTCGTAAATATCTATGATTTCTAGTTAATTTTATGGTTAATAAAAAGTTGTCTGTAAAAATATTGTTTGTGTGTGTTGTATAAAAGTACTTTTATACAATTAATGCCTAAATTCTTACAAGTCTTACAGGAATATGTTACGAGCCTTACGGTTCTGCTTAAAATTTAGACATTAATTTGATTTTAAACCCGAATCTCAATAAGAAATAGTATCTTATCTCCGTGTCATAGTGTGTCATATTGATTATATTCAACCATTTGTCATATAAATATACGCGGAGAAGAAAATTCAATGAAATTATTGTTCGATTCGGTACCGATCTGCCATCCTTTTACCGTCAGTAAAATGCGCGTACATATGTATAACAATCGAGTGCATTTTCCTATTCCTCTCGTCTTCACCCCTGCTCATTCTCGGCGAAGGAAATCTGATAGAGGATTTCCGCCGCAGCTGATGCTAGCACTTCCGCAGCTTTGTCCCCGGAACTCCGGAACCTTGTTTTCTGGCAATCGACGAAGACTCCGTTTGAGGGGGATCAAACGAGATAGAGACCCGGAGAGAGAGATAAAAGAGAGGAGAAAGGGAAAGAGAGCGCAAGAGGTACCTGCGGAGATCGGTGCATTATGCATGAACGGTAGTTTGATAACCTGGACGTCGTTTTGCCTAGAGAACGTTGGGCGAGAACATCGCGATACATGGCGCTCAGCATCCCGATACAGTACGCCACGTATACGCGTACATGCATACACGCACCTATACAGACGGAACCGAACGACGTTTATGCACGATGCTTCCTGCGTTCTACAACCCCGATGCACCTGCGCCACTCCGGTTTATAGCTATGTACCGGCACATCGCGTACTCTATACCGCGTTTATGCACGCGCCATCCCACATCTCTCATCCCTCCCTTCTCTCCCCCCCCCCCCCCCCCCTCTCCCC